TGTCATAGCATCCCTTTGTTCATTCATTCAGTTATAGGTTTACTAAGTGCCTCCTGTGGCCCGAGCAATATGCTAAATGCTGGCCATACAGAGCTGAATGAGACTGGTGCAGCCCTTCCCCTCTTTAACCATCTTTGCCCAGTGCTTTACTGGAGACCCCACCTCCCCCTGTTCTTGGCCTTCTGTGCTGCTCCTCTGTTCGAACATTATATATTCATAATGTCCTGCAGAAAACATCTGCACAGTTTGGTTAGTCGCCATCCAAATCTGAACAGAGTTCTTTTAATAAGAATTCATAGAGCAGGGAGCAAGTGATGCTAACTTCTGAGGAGATGGCAACTCCATCCCTTGAAAGTTGTATTGGAGTCACTGGAATGATACTGTTTCCCAAACAATGATAATCAGACTTTTAGCTCCACGAGGACTGTGTGGCTTGCTGCATCTCCCCACTTCCTTCTGTTCTCTGTACCAGAGGTAATCTTAGGTGCTTCTTTGCATCCTGAAAAAGGCTAATTAGCCTATCATCTTTAGCTTCAAGGTGATTATTTATTGCTCCAACTGAATAGGAGACTAAGGCTCCAATTGACAGAGGGCCTTGATGTCTAACCAAGTCTGCCTGTGACTTTAAAAAAAAATTATTGAGGCCTGGCTTGTGTAGCTCAGTGGATTGAGCGCAGGCCTGAGAACCAGAGGATCATGGTTAGATTCCCAGTCAGGGCACATGCCTGGGTTGCGGGCCAGTTCCCGGCAGGGGACGCACAGGAGGCAAGCATACATTGATATTTCTCTCCCTCTCTCCTACCCTTCCCCTCTAAAGATAAATAAATAAAATTTAAAAAATACGTATTAAAAAATTATTGAGGTATATTTGAAAGTTAAGAATTTCATTTATTTAAGGTATACAATTTGATCATTTGAGATAGATATCTCAAATGTATATTATTTCTCTCTCTATATTATTTCAACATACATATAGAAATAATCATGACGTTCAAGCTAATTAACATGTCCATCACCTAAATGATTACCACTTTATGCACGTGTGTAGTGAGAACACTAAGATCTACCCTCTTAGCAAACTTCAAGTTTACAATAAAGTCTTGCTGACCATAGTCACATTTGCTGTTCATTAGACCTCCGGAACTTATTCATCTTGCATAACTGAAACTGTGTAAGCTTTGAACAGCATCTCTGGGCTGTGCCTTTTACCAGAATTCTGGGGATCACTTTATACCTCCACCCCAGCATTTCCTAAGTTGTATTCTGGGGAGCTCTGGAATTCTGAGAGGCAGTAACTGGAGTTGTACAAGAAGAGATTTCCATGGACAAATGAGCTTGTGAGTGTTACAGCCCATATTTCTCACTTGGGGATACAGGATAAATAACGTGAATATTTATGTATTTACAAATGTTTAATTTTGTTAAACCCAGTCCGTATTCCCCAACCTGGTTTGACCATGGAACCTTTATTCTCAGAACACCACAGAGGACATTCCTGCCACGAGGAATGTTGTTTGGCAGATTCTTCTTACCTTCATGTCATGTCCAAATGCATAGCAAGTAAGAGTGAGCAAGGAGAGAGATAAGCATATAATCTCTTTTCTAGCAGTCCTATGGGGTCAATTATAAAGAGAGAACACAGTTTTATGGAACAAAGAGTAGACTTAGAGTAAGAAGACATGATGTAGGCCTACCTCTGTGATTTAACTGACTATGTCTTTGGACAAATCACTTGTACCACTGAGTCTTGATCTGCTCCTATAAAGGAGAATTTTAGGATAACCCTGCCATATTGTTTGAAACTGCTGGTCAGTATAGGAAGTTCTATATAGCAGATTTAACTTTGATTTAAAAAGTATTCTTCTGGGTTGGTTTTGTAGTCCCGCATTTTTTTTTGTTAAAATATTTTATTTACTTATTTTTAGAGAGAGGGGAGAGAGAAAGAGAAGAGAAACATCAATGCGTGAGAGATACATTGATCTGTTGACTCTTGTGGGCCCCCAGCTGGGGACCTGGCCCAAAACCCGGGCATGTACCCTGACTGGGAATCGAACCCACGACCCTGTGGTTCATAGGCCAGCACTCAATCTACTGAGGCACACCAGTCAGGGACTACTCCTACATTTTTTTAAATTGATTTTTTTAGAGACAGAGATGAAGGGAAGGAGTGAAAGAGAAAAAGAAAGAGAGAAAGGAGAGCAAGCCAGGGGGAGAGAGAGAAATTTATTGTTTCATTTATTTGTGCATTCATTGGTTGATTCTTGTATGTGCCCTAACCATGGATCAAACCCTAAACCTTGGCATATCAGGACGTTGCTCTAACCAACTGAGCTAGCTGGCCTTTTTTGGATGACTGGTGCCTTTAATTTTGTAAATGTAGGTACCTGATTTCTTTGACATGAAGCTACAGGCTCTCTAAGGCCTTAAAAGCCCAAGGAACTATTTTGGAATAAACAATGGAAACAAATTAAGTCTGGGATATATTTATCTTAGCCTGGATAGTAGTATAACACCTTGAAAAGTCCTAAGAAGTCTTATAGAGAATGGAGGAAGATATAGGTCTATGATATTACAAACAAGCAATAAGTGAAATTCAAGACTACTTATTTGACACTAAATTAATTGGCTTAGTTTTCTGATCACTCAGTTTCCAAAGATAGATATTGATGATACAGAGGTGTACTGCAAAATAAAGTCATAGCTCAGAACTAACTGATACTCCAAAACAGCACAGGAGAGGTGGGTAATCATCATTTCCAGGGAGGCTTTCTCTGGTTTTTATCTTTGAGGAAGATTATCTTCTGTTCTCTATCTCAGGAGGGACAGATTCATTCCAAACCTTCCCTTTAAAGGGAAGAGATTCCTTGATGGTTTAATGTCCACTTGCAAATACTGCTCTAGAGGGAGGTAGGTGGCTCTTGATGTTTGTCTTGCCACTGAAATATGTCTGTTGAAATAGCAACTACAAGGAAGAAAATTTTTTAACTAGATAGATAAAGTGACTGTACATGGAAATAACTAACAAATTTTGGTCTCTGTCTGCTGGAAATTTGATGTTAGCATTGATGACAAGAAGTAGTTTGGCTTTTTAAAAAGACAAGATTTTTGCTTCCACTGTGGGTTAACTAAATGTTACCTTAGTCATCTCTTAGTTATTGCTGGGCCATTGTAATACATTCAATGTGATGTTTGCTAAGCAAGCATGCCTGCCATCTGGTTACTGAAACTGTACTTTTGCTACTTCATAGATACACATGGCCCAGCAGCACTGAGATGTAGGGAGCTGATATCAGCCTGTGGATCAATTCCAAAGCAATCTGAGAGTTCAAGCCATTCATTTGTTTGCAACACAAAGTGTTCTCCACATAAGAAAACAATGAGTCTAACATATCTGTCTCTTTCCTGTCCTGTTATCTTTAAAATTGTCCCATCATGGCAGGGTGCACATGGGTTTACAATATTAAGCCAACTTTAGAGACCATGAAAAATGGAAAACTGTCTATTTGCTGTTTGTGCCACATCCTTTGGTTCTGGTGCCAGTGGCACTATTCTTGGTCTTCAAAGTGCACATAGAGGAATAGCTGGATCATATAGCAAAGTCCATATGCACCTACAGAAGTGGGGGGAAGAGGTTCCCAAACCAACCTTCTCATCAGGCCCCTGGCAAGCACCCCTCCCCCCAAAACCAAAGTCAGAATTAGTAGCACTGACCACAGTGCCTGACACATAGTAGGGGCTCCATAAATGTTTACTAAATACTAACATCTGGGAAGTCTGCAAATAGTAATATAAATAGCTGCTAAAATAGTGTTTATCTTAGTCTCTGTAGCCATTGTATTATATGCATTAGAGGTATGTGTAACAACTAGTCTTGGCTTTCTTAACCTTGGTGCTATTGACATTTCTGGCTAATAATTTTTTGCTGGGAATGGGAGGGGTGCTGTTTGTGCACTGTAGGCTTAGCAGTATCCCTGGCTTCTACCCACTAGATGCCAGCAATGTCCCTCCCCTCCAGCAAAAATATCTCCAGACATTGCCAAATGTCCTCTGGGAGGGAGCACAGTAACAAAATCACCCCTAGTTGATAACCACTCATTTAATCTGCGTGTTTATGACTTGTACCAGAATTAGAAAAATTATATTCTCTCTTCTCTCTTTTTTTGATTCAATATATCTTGATCTACATGATGAAGGTATTTCATTCTCTTAATCTGCCTTCATCCAATTTTCTCTGAATGTTTTCATATATCTAGAGGTACATTAGGTACATCCATATAAGTTAAAAACACCTGCTTCCCTCTCAGGGGAAAGGATATATGGAACAAAGATAAATCATTCTATATGGAAAAGGGACTAATAGCTAAGGAGGCTGCGGGTTTTTGCAAAGTGAAATTGGTATGGTCTGGGGCCCAAGATAAACCCAAGACCCTAAACTCATTAATGTGTCTTTGAGTATAAAAATAACAGTTGCAGCTGAAGAAAAGAAACCTACCTTCATTCGCTTGCTATGCACTCATGTAATCTTAACAATAAAACTCCAATGTTATACAAAGTATCCTTATGACAAACAGATTTTTTTCTCCCTTGGCTTTATTTTTATTTACTTCCTATTTATGTTAACAGTTTCAGGAAGAATCAGGCTGGGCTCCAGGAACAGGCTGTCAGAGTAACTCTTGCTCCTTCAGAAGTGCAGTAAGTAGTCCCACTAACTGATGAAATCATTAGTGTTTAAAACCTCTAAGGCAGAGTGGTGATAGTGGGGGGAAAAGAAAAATTAAACTCTTAGAATTCTGATTTAAACCCAGCCAGTGGGCAACCTGCTTAAAAATGACTACACATCCATGTCTAAGGGTGAGAAATAATTTATGACAAATAAAGCGCATGGAAAAATTCTAATTTCGTTCATGTTGCTACAAGTATACCTTCATGCTTTAAAAAAATGTGGGCTGGTAACATTTTTCTACCTTACTTACAGTGTAGAGTTAAATGTGTGCCCTTACCTCTCCTCCGGTGCACGGAAAAGGACTGGAGTATCTAGAAGTGCAAAGAGCTCCTTTCTTGACAACATCATCTTCCAGGCCAAAAGTCGCTGAGCAGTTAGTTGCAAAGTACTTGTAAGGCTTCCATGTCTTCCCAAAGTCCTGGGACCGGTCCAGCACCATGGCTGCTGGCCTGGGGGACTTGAACACAATAATTAGATGAGTGAAGTAGAATTCGGCTTCCAGGTCTAACTGGATCTTTTCTCTGTGCACATCCTCAGCAGACTGCCACCACGTGCGAGGAAACCTGAAGGACGAGTCTGCCATAGCGGCTGGCAGGTGAGCCAGGTGAGGCTGAGCAGCATTGCATTTGGCACATTTGGGCTGCCGACAGGTCAGATCAGTGTTCTCACTATAGAAGCAGAACAGTTCAGTGGTGTTCTGACCACAGGTGGTGTCTGACCAGAGTTTTCTCCCTAAAGCCAAATTTCCCATCTGAGGGTTACAGGCTTTTTCACAGCGGGAACTCATTCCAGTTACTCCATTCGGTCCTGGGGAAGGGAGAGCATATGTTATTCAAGACAAACCCATCTGGAAAGCTCTTTTGTCCACCTAGTTCATCTTCAAAAGTCAACTTATCCCTACAGAGTTTCAGACTTTCAGGAAAGAGGAAATCCTACCAAATTTGAGCACAAATAAATGCTCTGTATTTACACCACATTTGTGTACACAAGTGTGTATGTGCATTTTATGTTCGGATGTAAAATTCACATGAAAGAAAATAAAATCGCCTTGCTTAATTTTAAAAATAGCTATTGGGCATCTGAGTACCAATAGTCTCTAGTTTTGCCTCCCAAATGAGATACCGTTGTATATTGATTAAAAATCTCGATACATAATGGGAAAGGGCAAGAGGATGAAAGGGAAACACTGGGGTAAAGACAATGGGCCCAACCCTTTCCAAGTACTTTGCTTTCTAAACATTCTCTGTATTTGAAACATAATTATTTGCTTTTAATGTCATGACTTAAATAATATCCAAAACAATGATATTTTTGAGATCATCCAACTTAGTCTTTCAAATATAATTTCAGTCCTTATCTAACATAACCATGGGAATGCATTAAGGAGGAAATGTAGAATTCATTACATTTTTAAGCCAAAAATATGATGGGACAAATTCCCTAGGAAAAGCAATATGAGATAGTTAATCAACGTACAATGGGATCTGATTTGGGAGGCAAAGCTAGAGACTACTGGTGCTCAGATGCCCAATAGCTATTTTTAATATTAAGTAAATATAAATAGGAAAAAAACCCTCTAAACTGCCAAATGGCAGAAAAACTTACTTAACATGCTCTTTGCCTCTTGAGTGTCTCTACCTATGACAGGTTATGTAGTAGTTACCTGTTTGCTTAACAGGAGAATGTTTACAGACTGGCTGCCACCAGCAGCACCTTTAAACATTATCTGTGAACTAAAACACCTTCTTAAAGAAACATGCTCTTCCAGCCAAACAAAGGTCTAACAGACTTTAATGTTTCAAAATTACTGAAAATGATCAACATTATCCACTTATTAACATCCTGACTACATATTATAATCCTTTAATTTGGGTTTCTTGCTTTAATTATGAATATCGTAAGCAAAATCATCTATTTTAAACATTAAAACAGGCAGGGAAAGAAAGAAAAGGAAGTCAAACCCCAAATTCTGGCTAATTGAACGTTTGAGCGTCTTAACAGGGAGCACCTCTGAACTGTTATCACAGTACCACTGTTGGGGAGCCAAATGACAGCTTAGAGGAAAACAGAGATTTCACACACCGAGGCTCACCAGCCCCACATGACCTTTGCAACCAAAAGGAAGGGATTTCTTAGGCATATTCTTTAAATGTCACATTCAAGTGTGCATCATGCCTGGACTCTACTTGCTACTGATCTGGTTAGCTGGGGCAGCCATTGCCCCTGGCCAGGATTGCCCAAATACACAGTGTGCTATGACTCACCTGCCAAGCATTTCAGGGAAAATCATATACTGCCTGTACAAGTATTTTTGACTTGAAACACTTGGCTTGTGATATTTATTTACAACCTCTTGATTGCTTGCATGTTTTTGCCATAACATGGTTTGGAGAGAGAAAGGTTTATTAAAGTTCATTTTGTGTTTAGGGGAGCATGCATAAGTCTATGCAGGGGTTCACAGATAGGAAGAAATAGTGTAAAATCTTAGACCTTTAAGGCTCCTTGAAGAAAGTATTGGATAAGTTTCAATTGCCTCTAAACTAACAAGAAGTCCAGAAAAGATTGGAGCCAAATAAATAATGAGTGGACAAAACACTTGGAGATTCCTAAATAAATGATCAGCCAAGTATAGCAAGGATGCTCCTATGCGTCTGACTGGTTTGGGATGAGGATTCTAGAGCCTGGCTTTTGCTACGTGTCAGCAGCTCTGGGGACAAGGTGGAAGGAACTGAAGGGAAGAAGAAAGCGATGCTCTCTATCCACCAGCCGGCCCCTGTAATCCCCTTTCTGGAGCCAGCGAGGTAAGTTGGAAAGACCGGAGGGCCAAAGAGTCCCTCCCTTTCTTCCCCCGTCACACGGAGCTGCACTTCTGTCTAATTGGAAACCAGGTGACCCTCAAGAGGGAGATAGAGGAGAAGAAGATACTCCCTAATTTAAAAAAGGCGAGCTAGGAACGGCTGGCCACGGGCAGCCCAAGAAAGCCAGGATGGGAGTGGGAGGAAAAGCGCATCTGACGACGACTCTGCTGGTCGTCCAGTTACCGAGACAGGGAGCAGACCCGCCTCCGACCTCCCGCGGAGCCTCGGCCAGGGTACCAATTCCCCAGGGGCGGCCAGCCTGCTTCTTGCAACAGAGGGTGATCACCACCTATCGTCCCAGCCCCGGGTCTCACTACGTACCAGCCACTGCCCCAGTGAGAGGGCATTCACCCCGCCCCAGGTGCCCCTACCTGGCTCTCTTAGTACTCAGCATGAGGTCGGGAACTGCGGCGATCGCTCTCACCGAGAGAGCGGCCCACGCGCGCCCGAGGTTGCTGGGCCACCCCTCCCCATCGTTCCTCAGGCCATGAAGTGCCTGGGGATGGCGAGCTTGGTCCTTTGTTCCCTCACAAAGTGGAAAGACATTTTTTTTACTAGCCCAAACAGAGAAAGAAACCAAGGTCACTGTATCTCCAGCAGGACGCACCCAGGATATTCAAGGGCGTGTGTACCGCAGTTACAAAAAAAAAAAAAAAATCAACAGTATCAATATTTTAAACTGCAGAGACCGGGGAAAAGAGGCGGAACATGGCCACACATTTCATTCTCGGGAGCTGCGCTCGGCGCTCCCAAACCGCACTCCCCTGCACCCCGGAGTCCTGAAGTGGGGAACCGAAGGAGCAAGGGAAGAAGGGTGGGGGGCCGGCAGCGTCACCACCCACCTGCGGCCACCGAGGAGCAGCCCCAGAGCAGCACCAGCAGCAGCAGCCGCCGCCGCCGCGCGCAGCTCCCCATGTTCCGGAGGAGCCGGGAGGACTGGGGCCGGGCGAGTGCGGGAGGGAGCCAAGCCCTCTCGGTTGTGGGATGAAGCGCAGATAGTCCTCAGGAGGAACCGGGGCTCTTTATTTCTTCCTCCTCCAGGGGCACCAGGATTAGTCAGTGGTCGCCGGCGCCTGGGAGCCGCGGGCCGGGGTCGCGCCGGGCGGAGGGGTTACCCTTGCGCACTGGCCTGGTGGGGTCCGGGCACCTCGGGGGCGGCGGGGGCCCTGGACCATAGCCCGCCTGGCTGCGCGGCCCGGCTGAGCGGTCCTGCGGCTCCTCCACTGCTCGCCCGGGGCTCGGCGCTCGCCGCAGCTGCTGCTGAACTTTGCGAGACCTTTCACTTCCCGGCCGCCGCTGCTGCCGTCTCCTGGGCGTCCTCCTCTGCTTTTGCCACCTCCTCTGGCTGCTGCGTCTCGGTCCCGTCCTTCTCCATGGGCAGTTCCATGGGATGCATTTTTATTACACCGACACCGCGGCGCTCCGGTGCCAGCCCTCCTCCTCCTCGCACCTCCACCCCTTCCTCCCGCCCGCCCCCTGCGCTCTCTTGACAGCCGGGGCGGTGCAGACCGCGTGGCCGGGTCGCCCACACCGCCCCGGGAGGGATCTCTGCGCCGGACCGGCCACCCGAGTTGCAGTGCTGCCAGCTCGCCCCGCCCGCCTTATCCCCCACACGCGCCCGTCACCTCAGCCCCCAGCTTCTCTCGTGTCTTTCCTGGCGTTTGCCCTGCATCTCCCTGCGTGCCCCCCACCCTGGTGCCCTCCTGCACCCACAGGCCTCCTCGGGGAAGTAGTCTCCCACCTTCTCCCGGAACATTCCAGAGAGCAGTTGACTTTCTTGATCAGGTCAGGGCATGCCAAGGGGCTTAAAAAACCGCGAAACAGACTAGCGCCTACTTCCCACATCCCCGGGGAAAACAAGCCTCCCCCCCCCTCTCTCCTCGCACCCCCAGACACCTCTTCTCTGGGAGTCTCACAAGCCCAGGAAGAACCCCCCACAACCCAGCCCCGGGTCACGGGCATCCGAGGGCGCACTAATTGCTAAGTGGCTGGGAGGACCTCTTGGCTGGTGAGGTGTGTCCGTTTTTGATGTAAAAGATATTCCCCAATTCAAACTCAGGGTGCTTAAAGAAAAGGATCACAGGACTAGCTAGTGCGCAGTTTAAGAACATCCTTGTCTACCGAGAGACCAGACAATGAGCACGTCCTTGGTCCTTCCAAGCACTTTCACTCTATAGAGCGCGTTGTGCTGGGAAACAATAAGGTTGTGGAATGTTATGGGGAACAATTCAGTAGCAACCACAAGTAACTAATTGTGGATAAATTGCTCAAGGCTGCTTGCTGCTTATGGAAGGAGATTAAATAGCACTTTAGTCTAGGGGTTGGGGAAGTTCTATGAAAACATTGTTCTACGTACGCTAATGGGGAAATTGACAAAGTTAAGTAGAAAGCAGTTTTATTGCAGTGTTTATTTTGTGCCTTTGAATGTTTTCCAGAAAATTAACTGCTTTACAGACATCATTCAGTTTTGTGTGTTACTGATGAACACAATTCAGAGCTTTGGGGGCACATGTAGGTGTTAATTTATAATGACGCAGCGGGGGACACGTAAGAAGTTTAAATCTCCCGAGAGGAACTGAGGTGAGATCAGCATCATCCACTTGGGAGACGTTAAAATTATTTTTCTGTTTAACACTGGAAAGTGACAAGACAGTGTGGAACGGCAGTTCATGTAACACTTTAGAAAAAAACCTGGCATTTTCAAATATTGCCAATGTTTGGGACTTTCTTCATGTCTTAGAGATGTGGCCCTGATGGAGTCACTGGAACACACCTGTTCAAATTAATTTTTTCACCAAATAAATGATAGGAAATTATAACAGCCAAAAGCTCTGAGCAACAACATTAACCTAATGGTCAAAGCTGATTTTAAGGGAGAAAATGCACATTTATTATTAACTTCTGATATAATAAGATATAGCAGCATATTGAGGCAAAACTCCTCCATCTCTCATGGCACGTTTCAGAAGCATTTCCTGCCTGCAGCAATCCTGCCTTGGTAATACAGGGTGGGCAAAAGTGGGCTTACCGTTGTTCGTGTGGAAAAAGACAAGCAGGTTGTGATTAAGGATATGAAATAATACCAAAAATATGAGACAAATAATACAAACAAATGATGTTATTTAAGAAATAATATGAAAATAAACTGCTTTGCGTAGTCGCAACTATAAAACTACTTTTGCCCACCACTGTCTGTGTTTCTGGTTCTTGTTTCCTTTAACAGGACAGGACATTCCTTAATGGGAAGCCAGTTTTTATCCTTAATCTATACAAACCATTATTGTGTTTTGCTTATGTTCTTCATTGTTCTCAACTGAGAATATCTGCTAGGTATGTAGTAGATTTTCATTCAATGTTTTTGATTGAATTACATTAAAATTATTGCTCTATACTAAAAACAGGGATTAAGGAGAGAAGTGAAATCAACATTATTTTCTATATTCTAAATGAATCTGTACCTTTACAACAATACTTTATATATGAATGGCTCAGGAGAGAAAAGTAATTAGCATTCTCACCAATTTTATTTGGTTAAGTAGTCTAACTTAATTCTAAATTCAAATTAAATTCAGTCATAATTTAGATAGAAATTGTCTTTTCATTTTGAAGAAGCTAGTCAGGAAAATTTTACTTACATAAGGGGAATCTTTGATAAGCATATCATTCCCTGTGATTAAGTGTTTTTGAACATTTCAGTAATGATTCCAAGTTTTTTTAAAGCTTAGCAAACCTATGGAAATTCAACAACAAGTTTCTAGAAGCTGCACAATTGACAATGAAATCTAGAATCCTCCTGAGAACTTGGAAAAAAGCCAGAGGGCCTTTAAGAACTGAATAGATGGGAAAATATTGGTGTGTCAAAAACCTTATTGGTGGAAGAGCTCTTTAGGTCTTCACTTAAATTATTCTTTTTAAAACAATTTTTTATTTAGTTATTTTTCAAGTACAGTTTTCTGTTTATTTCTCCCAGCCCAGCCCACCCCTCCCCCATGCACCCCACCTCCCTCCCATTTCCACCCCCCTTAGTTATTGTACCTGTGTCCTTTATACTCGTTCCTCTAAATCCCTCCCATTTTCCCCTTAAATTCCCTCCCCTCTCCTCTCTGGTCGTTGTCCCCCTATTCTCTATTTCAGTGTGTTTGTTTTTATTTTGCTTGCTTGTTAAATTATTCTTGCAGTATTAATCAGTTTGGTTACGCTGTTTCTCTGGGCCACAGCATATTAGAAGTTACAACTTAGAATGTGATTAAAACAAGGAATGAGTTTGAGACAACCTGATAATAAGGAGGACGGGAGAAATGTAAAAAGTTGCCATTAGGACAAACCTCCCACAGCAATCTGAGGCCTTGTAATGCAGAGGCAAAGCACCACAGGCTGTAGGGGTGTCGCTCTACTGTAAGTAGTACAGTGTGTGAGGTTCCTAGTGGATCACGGGATATTCAGCATCAAAAGTCACCTTAGGGATCCTTGAGCCCAGCTGCTCTCCCTATCAGGAGCCCTCTCCACAAAATCTGTCCAATGGGCATCCTGTTTCTCTTCTAGAAACTTCCGTCAATGAAAGCCTCGAAAGCAGCCCTTTTCATTTTCGGTACTGTTTTATTCAACAGTGACATGTCTGTTAAATTCTGCCTGAGTTTACAGAAGAGATCCAATTTCTTTCCTGATAGGTATTCAAAGATTGTTTTAAAATTAAATTTGTTGGGGTAGCATTGGTTAATAACAGTATAGAAGTTTCAGACGTTTGATTTTATAACATATCATGCATTGTGTGCTTGCCACCGAAAGTCTGGTCTCCCTCCGTTACCAATATATCTGACCCCCTTTACCCTCTCCATCCTCCCACAACCCTGCTGCCCCTGGGTAACCACCCTTCTCTTGTCTGTGTCTGTGAGTTTGTTTTGTTTGTTCATTTGTTGCTTTCTGTTTTATATCCCACATATGATTCTTGTCCTTTTCTGTCTGACTTATTTCACTTAGCTTGATACTCTGTAAATCCATCCATGTTGTCACCAATGGCAGCTTTTCATCCTTTCTTGTGACTGAGTAGTATTCCACTAAATGTACACACACACACACACACATGATTTCCTTATCCAATTATCCACTGAAGGACACTTAAGGTTGTTTTCATGTCTTGGTTACTGTGTATAATGCTGCTATATTTAAAGAAGATTTAAAGTTTTATTGCTTCTATTAACTAGTTTCTTCTCTAAGTGTTTGCCACCCAAGTGGCATGATTTCCAAACCTTTCACCATCTTAATCATCCCTTTTCAGATACACTAACAGTTTGTCACTGTTGCTTTTATGCTGTGCATCTAGAACACTCAACTTCGGGCTTGTCTGGGTCGGTATAGGATAAAACAGGAATAGTAGTTCCCTTAACTCAGGGCTAGGACTTTTATATTGCTGTAGCCTAAAAACACATTAGCAGCTTTGTGACATTGGCTCATATTATGCTTGATGTAAACAAAAATCCCCTTTTCATATATTGATGTCTTAAAGATAGTGGATAGAAGGTAAAGTATATTTGTTTAACCAAAAGGAAAAGTTCCTATCCAGATACATTTCAGGTAGCAAAAATTTAAAGAACACAAGTAAACAAAATAAAATTTGAAAATTTGAAAAATGGTTAAATTTTAAAAAGAAATTGTTAGTCCAGAATTGGCTAAGTATCTATTTGCTGGAAAAAAATCACTCGTATGGAAAATCTGAGTCTTCAGCAACATTGTATACACATGGTATTACTATGCATTTCCAAGGAAAGGAAGGACCTTGAAACAGTGATTTTAGTATATCTAGTATCTTGCCTCCATGGAACTATAAACATTATCTCATTTCTCCTCGCAGCATCAATGTGTGGGAAGGAACAGGAATAGCTGTGCTCATTTAACGAGAAAGAAAGTGATGCAAAAGATGTTAAGTGCCAAACTTACATCATCCAACAAGTATACACTGAAGACAGGACATGGGTTCCAATTTTTTTAAATCATTGCTTATCCATCAGTGTTCCGTGAATACAATCTTATCTCTCTGAACTAGAAGGCTATTGGGAGGAAAAGAAATAGAGAATTGTTCCCATTGAAATAATCCTGTATTTTGTTTTCTACCTGGTCGGTGTCTTTCAAATAGCCTTTAAAAGACATCATCCTGGGAAGTTCCTTCGGCTTTAACCTCAGCCTTCTGCCACTGCTGGCACTGGGTCTTAACTGCATGTGCTTCCTGGCTACAGCCACTCATTCCTAGGAAGGGAGTGAGAGTTTTTGAAAATACACGTGCTCTTCCAAGAAGGTAAGCAATGCTTTTCCTTAAAAACAAAACAAAACAAAAGACTATGCATATGCTCCTTCATGTTTAGATTAATTATATGGAGCCTAGAAAGTTCAAACAAACAAGAACAGTTCTGT